AGTATTAAGTCTGTTGTACCTACATTCACACAATTGATGTCAATTGGATGTCCATGGACATCCCGTCGCCAGACTGATGGACACAAAAGGGACATCATGTGTTGTATGAATTGAGAAACGTTTGAAAGAAAAACTCAGGTAGCGCCTATGGGTGGAATGACGTGTTATTTGAAAAGATTAGTACCTACCTATCAGATGAAAATGAAAAAGGCAACTCATATTTTTCCCAAAGATACCTATCAAAATATTTGTATTGGCGATACAGGTCGTTTCAAGGATGAAAGTTCATATAATCACGATTATGTTGTTATTTTGAAATTGGCATAATATGATGGGCATAACATAAGGTGTGTTCATATATCTACCATATGTATCAATCTTGGATGAATTAAGTACATAGGTCCAAAAACTCATTATACCTCTTATGAGAGGGTGTACACATTTGTTGGGTTTAGAGAACTGAAAATGAAATGTCAAAAAAATATAATAGTAGATATATATATAAAGGTTCTCGCGAGGGTTCTCGTACTATACAGGGTGTTATTTAAGTACGTGGCCAAACTTGAAGGGGTGATTCTTTGGGTGATTCTAAGACGAAAAGTTCATATAAACATAGGTCCGGTATTGCTTCGTTTTCAAGATACAGGGTGTCAAAATTTTCAAAAGAAATCGTTTTTTTCGTAAATATCTTAATAACCCTTCAACCGATTTTATTGAAATTTGGCAGTGTTATTCAAGGTCGTAAAGGGCTAATTTAACCCTAACTATATCAAAAATATTAGTAAGACCCCAGTTTTTGATGGTTTAGTAGTTGAAATGTTTTATTGTGTTGTCACAGGGATGTGCAATGAAGTGATTTTTATGTTTTTTCTCAAAAACAAAGCAAGATACGAAAACAATTCTGAATATAAAAAAGTTGTAATTTTAGTTGCTCAATGTGGAACAAATACAAAAATTGCAAAAAAATCAGTGGCGCACATTTTTTGTGTCAAAAATATTGGTTACAGTGCCTTCCGGGACGCCACTGGACATGATAATTTTGACATAGTTAGGGTTAAATTAGCCCATTACGACCTTGAATAACACTGCCAAATTTCAATGAAATCGGTCGAAGGGTTATTAAGATATTTACGAAAAAACCGATTTCTTTTAAAAATTTTGACACCCTGTATCTTGGAAACGAAGCATTACCGGACCTATGTTTATATGAACTTTTCGTCTAAGAATCACTCAAAGAATCACCCCTTCAAGTTTGGCCACGTACTTAAATAACACCCTGTATATAGATTGTTACGATAATGCATAGATACTACTTTTAATCGAATTGCGCATGCAAATATATCATTATATGCAATATCAACAGGAAAAGGTCGTCGATCGGATCTAACATATACATATAAGTAGACCTTCAGATACTCTGGTCTGGTATACAAAATGGAATGGATTGGTTACCTACAATGAATTTAGCATCTTCTCATGATTTGGGTCATCAGTTGATTGTGTACTCAGATATAGAATCGTGTATTTTACTGTTTCTGATACTCAGATTACTGTGTATCTACTCAGCCACAACACAAATTGGTATAGGTATATAAGTATGGGTACCTACAGTTTTATTTTGGTGGGGTAGGAGTAGGAATATGATAACATCCAGTGATAAATCATTGAATATAGGTACATATCATTATATTTACTCCTTTTCGAGGCGAAAAGTGTGTTTTACTACCAAGGTAGTTTTCGTCATTTTATGAACCACTAGTCAATAAACACATAACCACCTCTGTTATAATATTAACCTGAATCCACTGTTCTGATGCGGGATTATCAATAACGACATATGCTGTCATGGTGATGGATACTAGATTTCAATTAGAATTGAAAATAAGTGCTTTCATAGTGACAATAGGTCTAAATTTCAGTTTCACGGAATTATATTGTTAGTGGTGAAAAAAATGTATTATACACCTTGGCATATAATAAAAAATATTATTACCACAGCTAAATATATAGCCTCTCTTTCATACAAAAATATACAAGTGGGTGTGGTCCATAATATAACTGTACGCAGTTATTAGTTACTTATCAGTAACGGTAACATTGTTTTCATTGTAAAATACAAAATGGAGTTTTACACACTAGTCGAATTTACGTCATATATAGGTACCTATATCTATCTTTATTCTCACCACAAATATGTTTTCAATAATCAAAATAATCACCTCTCAAAAACGCTAGCTCTCGATAACCTAACATAGCGATAAGCACTATTAGTGTTTAATTGCTCGACAAAATGAAAATATTTCTACATAATGACCTCGCCAAGGACTGCTCCACAATAAGGCTTACCACCTCAGCTGTGCCATCTTTCATCGAGTTTTCTTTCAGGCAGATCGCTCCATGTGGTGGAAGACGGAGTATCGTCTGATACCATCGCCATCAGTTCTGACGTTCCACAAGGATCAATTTTGGCACCAACATTGTTCCTACTCTATATCAACGATCTATTTGGAGCAACCAGTTGCCTTATATCCACAGCATTGTCAGACGATAGTACTTCTCTCTACTGCGTTCACTTCTAGAATTCTCATATCTTCCCAGGAAACTAAGAATTTAGGACGAAGACAGGCCAACGCTGTCAATGAAGATCTTGAGGGAATCACAGCCTGGGGAAGCAACAACCTAGTTGAATTCAATTCCACCAGAACTCAAGCCTGTATTTTCTCTAGAAAGGCAGATCTCAGTATGACTGATATAACAATGTCTGGTACCACCATTCTCACCAAGACCACTATATCTATGCTCGGTATTACCGTCAGCAATACTCTCTCATTGGATAATCATGTCCGATCTATCACAGAAACTCTATATATTGTTGTAGACTCATTTCTGTTACATGAACACTTTATATCTCAACCTGGTGGAAGGCATTTGACTCTGAACAACAACAAAAAAGTTGCCTGCTGCGCATTTTCCAGTATTGTCTAAAGGCGAGTCTAAAGGTCTAGAGAATTTGATTCAGGCCCCCTCGAGAAAATTTCCTGCGGGCGCCCATGTTCGTCGTTAATCTTGAAAAATGTCGAACGACACTCTACCAAAACTCGTTCGTCTATAGAACGGCGAAGATTTGGAATTCTTTGCCAATGGCAGTATTCCCAAGAACTTGAAACCTCCAAAAGTTAATAAAAAATCCAACGCCTACCTCCTCTCTTTGTTATCCTCCGAGTTATCCTTCCTCTAGGTATGCACAATCCTCCACGAACATTATAGGAATTTACTTTCATGCGCTCCAAGAGATCAAAAACATTGTGAAAATTGCTGTAACCAACAAAGAGAAAATAAAATGTTCACACCCCATAGTTCGGAAGTTGAGAGGTTTAGGGAATATATGTTCATTGTTCATATGAACTGTTCTTCTTAATAAAATGTGCTGAGGAACCATATCCTATATATATATCAATTAAATTACACCTTGTATATAAGTCCTACCGTATAATATATAATTGCAATGGATTGATCGCGGTATATGACGTCCGCGCTGTTATGTCATTGAATATCGTGATTTTCAATAATTTTTGAAAAAATTACAGCTCTGAGGGGAAAGCGGTTCGCGAAAGTGAACATAAGTTTATTTGTTAATATACTGTGTGTTATAATTTGCTCCACCCCAACCCTGAACTTTCGTATTCCAAGGACGATTCAATATTTTTTTCTCATAATTTACTACTCAAAATTATCTACTTTTTCGAGCAAAAAAGAATTATTAATCACAATTTCTCAGCCTACTGCGATCATAGAAACTCCAGCAAAACTAAAGAAAACACTTTAGGCATTTTTTTACAAAAATTTCGATAATGACGATCGATTCGGACTGGCCACAAAATATACTCTCATGTCAATTTTCAAAACAATATCTCATACGGGGTGTTTTTATCAACGTTACAATTCTTGAATAATTGCAATCAAATAAGAATTATTATACACGGTGACTTGAAAAATTCAATTATCCGTAAGATTGTAACGTTGATAAAAACACCGCTCATGAGATATTATTTTAAAATTGAAATAGGAGTATTTTCAACTATTCCGAATCGATTGTCATTATCGAAATTCTTGTAAAAAATTATTAATCCGTTTTCTTTAATTTTGCTGAAGTTTTTGTGATCGCAGTAGGCCAAGAAATTGTGTTTGATAATTTTTTTCTGCTCTACAAACTAGATTATTTTGAGTAGTTTATTATGAGAGAGAACTATTTCAAATCGCCCTAGGAATACTAAAATACAGTGGGGTGGAGTGGACCGAATTGTAGTAACACACTGTAGGTACTTCAGAATTATGAAATACCTACAACGAGACCTACAATTTTTCAATGAAACAGAGGTCCATTGTTTGAATTAACAAACGAGAATTCTTCATAGGAAAATTCCGGATCAGATTTTTATCTAAAACTCGATGTTCTGATAGAAAAAGGTATCCTATAACAGACAGAAATTTTCATGTTTACGTGCATAACTCGCGAGAACGCGCGATGCTTGTTTCATTCATACATCTCATAAAATAGCGTTAAAAACACTGCCAGTTTGCTAATTAAAACGAAATGCTGTATGTACAATAATAACAAAGTTGCCATCAATGGTTAGGGTGGACACTCAATTTGGGTGTATTTAAGGCACATATAGGTATACCGAAGTACATACGCTATACCTACATAGGTATATATATCCAAAAATTCAACAGGGAAAGATATACCTGCTCACCTATAAAAGTAGGTTCTATAATAACATTGAAATATCGTGTACCGAGTCGTGTACAATAAACATGGAATGATGATTTACCGGGTAGGGACATATTTCCTTCATGTTTAGTAGGTGGAAGATTGAAAGATAGATAAAATATATATTTATAGGTCTAAGCGCTCTAAATCGTACCTAAATTGTAAGCTACCTTTGTATATAGGTATATAAGTGAGTATAATAACCTATTATTGAAAATATTATTCTCACCTGAACCTCGAGTGCGATCAAGCCCATTGTTCTTGGATGGAAGTAATTTTTCTGTAACTATCTCATCATTCAAACAAGCACTGTATTTGTAATGGTTATTATCCTCCGGTTTTGATATTTTGAATCTGCGCTCAGACATTTTCAAAACGGCATTTAATTAAACTAATTTAAACTGTAAACACTGTATATTAAATGGCACCAGTCATTGTAGGTTCCGCGTACGAAAATAGTTTGTATACCGATTGATCAATTTATGATACAAATGCAATTCCGTAGTCTATAAATTCGAAGATAAATAAGCTCTAAAATGTTTTCACATGGCGCGCACTGTTGGTCTGACAGCTGTCACAAGTTTTCTCGGGATTTGTTTACTTCCAAGCGACATCTACGGTTATCAGTTGTTACTTTCAAGCTTTCAAGGGTATAAGAGTTTGACTTTTGAATGTTTCCCTCTACATTATACCATTCCAACTTTCCCACCTCAAACGATAAACACATATGTAACTTCAATAATATAGACTTGCCAATGTCCGAGTTATACACTGACAAAGCATCAAAGTGACAAAACCTGAAAACATAATGGACCTGTGCTTCCATCTTACTTCAAGTGTAACAGTATCGAAAGGTTGGTTCACTAATACGCCGTAAGCAGGATGGAGAGTCCTGGCCTACAGTGACTGCATTTTGGCCGTAAGCTATGAACGGAAACAAACAAAACGCTTGCATTTGAATCCAGAGGAGCACTGAACTATTGGCTCTTTTGTTTTATGTTGTAGCTATATACATATATTATGTTATATGATGATATAATAATTTACAGAAGAAAAGTTATACAGTAATGTAACTCAATAATTTGTGTAATAATTTGTACCTAACAGCACCCTCTATGCATTTAATCCGGAAGCCTATGGCCAAGCGGCAAGGCTGGCGATGTTGTTTCCTATTTAACATATCATCTTATGTTGAGGTGGATTGAAATCATATATTGTTTAACTATTTGGCATCATTTATTAATAATAAATGAAATACCTGGACATCAGGTCACTCTAGACTGTACAGATACAATACAGTCGAGTACACTGCTGACACCTCGAAAACACCAAGTGAACTATACTTTCGTGTTTTGAATTTTATAAGTTGGTACAATGGTAATGGACATGTTGGCAACAGGGGTGCCAACAATCATCAGCTGAAAAGGAAATATTGGAAATGGTGTCCTGTCAGCAAGACGTCTTGGACAGATAATGAAATAGATAAGATAATAATATCAAACAATCCATTTTGCCTGCGAGTAGTAGAAAAATAAATAGAAAATGTCAGGATTTGATGATAATCCCTTTGGGGAGCCTACTATTGATAACCCTTTTGCTGTAAGTACCTACTTGTTTTCCTTCAATATTTTTCTATTCTGTATGTTCATTTTTCTCATTATAAAGGAATATTTGCTTGTCTATAATATTATATGACGTATCAACATTAGATACACAACAAACTAGCTGACTTTGGTATTTATTATTTTTAGGACCCATCTGTTCAACAAGTAGCTAGAAATAGCAATGCCCAACTCAGAGTTGATGATTATAATCCCTTTGATAATCAGGCACCAAGTCAAAAACCGGTAGGTAGATATTACCAAATTCTCCAGAATTAGTCATACCTTCAATATTTAGATTGAAAGGTCAGAGTGACATTGCCTTCAATCTGAAGTGTTTTTATTTTTTGTGTAGGTAAGTATTAATTATTCTACTTATGGATATTAACATCAAGATGATTACAACAAGTAACAGGCCAGACAGAGTTTTTTCTCCTGAGAATAATCTACTATTTCACTTAGGCATATACCTACACCACACACTCCTACTTTTTTTTTTGTATTCAATTGCTATATAAATTGCTTACAAATGATTCAAGAATAGTCCCCCCAAACAGCCAAACAAAAAAGCAAATACATCAATATTATAGCCATTGGACCTTGTAAACACATGGGTAAAAGGGGTCATTGGCACCACCACCCATAGCAGAATTGTGTGGGGGTTAGGCGTATGTCACCCTGGCCATTCAACAAAATGAAGAACAATAAAAACATTTTCTTTGTCTGTAAATTTGTTCTATATTCATAGGTACTCCTGGGTACTCCATTATTTATTCAATTCAGTAGGTTTGTTGTACTCATGCACCAACTTCAGCATGTCTTTTGTATGAGAAACAGTAATTTTGAACAAGTTTTGTTAATTGACACAGTTTTCTGATTTATTGCCAAGTCATTCTCATTTACAAGATATAAATCACAAAAATTCAAAAATATACAGGGTGAGTCGAGAGGAACACACCAAACTCCAGGTGTGTATTGTACAGGTGGAAATAATTTTAAAAACCCATATGTTTGTCATTTATTTTCATTCTAAATTTGACTAGATCTGTGGCATTTTATATGACTTAATCATACTAACTGGAAAATAAACACATCAAACACACTGACCCTAACACAATCATGTCAGAACAACAAAATCGACCAAACAATCCAGTTTGCATGATTCAAATTAAATATCAGTAGATAATGAATCAAAAGTTAAGATAGGGACATGAAAGCTGACCGATAATGAAGTTTCCACACAAAAAAAAACGTAAAGTTGAAAAATCTCGATTTTGAACTGTAATCATTCCCGCTAGACACAAAGTGTGATGCATTGATGAATGCAGCTCTTCAGGGAGAATCTAAAAATGCAATAAAATACAGGGTGGTCCATTTGAAAATCGAGAGTTGATGCCCGTTACGCTTCAAGATTTCAACTTTGGAATATGACAATTGCAGAAAAATGTGTCCGTCGCCAAAGTGAAATCGACCTCTCCCAGCAATATTCAATTTTTTTAACGATATGGGAGATTTGGGGGTGACAAGTTTTAGCTGGGACACACTGTATATGTTATTGTTATTTTGAAATTTGTGTTCTTTATTGCCTATTTCCAATTTAGTTGTAATCATTTTTTTCGCTAGCTTCAAAAATGAGCAAAAATAATATTTCGAGTCGTCTGTGCACGATTAAAAAGTACATCGTTGAATAGACATTTTGGAGCTCTTTTCAGATATGGCGAAATATATTAGTAATTCAAATGTATAGGGTGTTGTTTCGGGCAGAATGAATTTGTCAATTTTATGTGAAACCGGACCTGGATACTATCTTTTCTTGATGCCTCATTCAATTTGACAGGATAGATTGAGTAAGTGTACCAATTTTCAAAAAAGATACAGGTTGGTTGGGAAGTTATGAGACAATGAAGATTTGGGTGAATTTATTAAAACATCTCATATCATGGTTATAAGATGTCGAAGACCCATGGGGTTTTTTAAATCACCTCAGTGACCGCATTTCCACAATTGAAGTATACCTTTCCCAGTGAAACACCCGGTATATAATTCTTCACTCTAACAAAAAGAACACTGAGAAGAGTATAAAGGTTTTTTCAATTTCAGGGTTGATTCTGTTTTATATTACCTACTTAAATCTTTTTTAATATTCTCAAACTGTGTCCATAATTGCATTTTGGAGGTTTTTATGAAAAATTGCATGTCAACATTTTCCATACTGGAATATTGGAATAACCCTCAAACTTCACTTCTTGAATTAAGATTTGCTAAATAATACTGATTTTATTGCTTTTTATCTCAAAATCAATTTTCTAGAATGTTACGGTTTCCTCATTAGTTGAGTTAGAAGTAGTTCCACTATAGTCTGATCCTGAAAACTAAATCACCATGTATATTCGGAAATTGTACTGCATCTTTTGAGATTATGCCAAAAAAAATTGTAGGACAACCAAGAACCGGTTGGTGGGCGACTTTAATCGAACACCCTATAAATCAGAGGATAATATCAACCAAAAGATGTTTACAAGGCAACACTGCAAGATATGCCTGGTCTTTTTTTTCTTTCATGAGATATTAATGTTTCCATATGTTTTCCTAACCCTGTATAATTTTTTACAAGACATACAATCAACCAAATTCTGGTCCTGCCATAATGCAGCCAACAGAGGAACCTCCAGCATACACCAGAAGTGGCCAACAAACCCAAAGTGTCCCTAAACCTACTCTCGATACTGCCGAATTACAAGTAAGTAATTTTTTTTTCTCCTGAAATTTGGAGTAGACCATATAATAATGTTTGCAGAGAAGGCAGGAAGAGTTGGAAAGGAAGGAGCAAGAGTTGGCTCGTAGAGAAGAAGAAATGAGAAATTCAACATACAATGTGAGAAGGAATAATTGGCCACCTCTGCCAGAACAGTGCTGTTTCCAGCCCTGCTTCTATCAAGACATACAAGTGGATATACCTCTAGAATTTCAAAAAATTGTTCGCCATCTATACTACTTATGGATTTGTAAGTAATTATTAAATTTTACCATTTTTTCGATTTATCTTTGGAATTCAATATGGCGGATGGTTGATATGATCTAGAAAATAACTAGTGGGGTCAGACCGAAATTTTACTAAGTAAAACCCAATCATTACATTTTCCCAGATTGTTTCAATAGTCATGGTGAACTCCTTAGGAAATGATCAATTATTGTTCATAATTATCTGTTTCAGATCATGGTCTGGTGATGATAGCCAATGTAATAGGGGGAATAATGCTGAGAGACTTTGAAATTATTGGACTTGGTATTCTCTATGTACTTCTTTTCACTCCATTCGGGTACCTCTGCTGGTTTAGGCCCGCTTACAAAGCATTCCGCTCTGATTCGTCTTTCAACTTCATGGTGTTCTTTTTTATATTTTTTTTCCAATTTGTTATCACAACAATACAAACCATAGGGATTCCTGGTTCTGGAACAATGTAAGTCTTTCCTGGTGATACCTATATGGTGAGAAATCTGATACACGTTTTTTTTCCAGTGGTGTTATCAAGGCCCTGTCCTCTTTTAAAGATACTGCATGGAGTATTATTTGTGGAGTTGTCGCCTTATTTATTGCTATAGGATTTGGTTGTGCAGCTGCAGCAGATTTATTTTTGATTTCAAAGGTAAATTGTAGTATGTCACCTCGAAAATTGACACTCTAAAGTTCGACAATTTCAAATGGTTTAGGAACTATTATCTAGTCCCATTATATAGTTTGGACACGCTATATACAGTCGTATTCAATAAAAAAGCGTAAGAGTGTTAAAAAAGAGGTTACGGAATCCTAGTTCTAGTTGTATAAAACTGGCTTAGCCAATGCTTTCTGTTTTTGAGAACCTATGACAGCTTAACTGTCAACATTTGGTAAACAATCATTCCCGATAGCCCATTTTACGCAAATAGAATGACGTCAATTTCTCTATGTAATATACTTGTATGCTTTTTTTCTGAATACAGCTGTACAAGCTTCTTTCCATAATTGGAGTGGTAAATACAATGGGGTATCCTATGAGACATTAAGATGAAATAAACAACAAGACAGTTTTCTGGAGATTCACAAATAAATTTGCGCTCTCACCAACTGATATTGAACGTCTAGCAACATTGCAGAAGTCATTGAAACTTCCGGTGCTTCTGATTTCGCCGAAATCAAACGCTGGAGCCCGGCTGTCAACATCTAATCAATGATTTTTAAAATATCCAGTCAAACTTCAAATATTTTCTAATATTCCAGAATACTTGTTTCTACATTCATTTGTTTTAATTATCGCTTTAATTTTGGAAACACCTTGTATATACGTTGTGGTAATTTAAAAGCGCGACACCATCCAAAATTTGAATGAATTGTCCGATTTTGCCTAATATTTTCTGGAATTGAAGAACATAAAAACCTATTTTACGATCAATTGGGTCTTTTTACACGAAAACTAACCACTGATTTATAGATTGAATAACGTAACGAACGCAAGTATTTTTCCAGTACTGTTTATAGAATATCGTTCCGCAAATCACTGATCAAGGGAGGTTGGGTTCATTGTTTGATTAACATTAGGAATTGATTAATGATATTGATTGTGAAGCCTCATGGTGAATATTATTCCATTTCATTAAGTCAAACAGGTATTACAAAAATAACAATTAATGCCATCAATTGAGGAGATTGCACTGATATGGTTCGTAAATATATCTAGTAACTTCGATTCATTCATTGATGATGAAGTAATTGATATTAACTGTTCTTCTGGGGAGATAATGTAAGATCCCTATTCGTTGCTTTTTGATGTGAGGTAGGTATTGAAGCTGGATCAGATATGAGTATATTTGCAAAAATTGTTGGGGTTAGGTATTGTTCTCATGGACATGAAGGTATATAGCTTTAGAAACCTTAAGATTTTCAATAGGTACCTTGAACTGACGATATTTCCAATTTGCGAAAGCTCCTTCCGATTTGCGAAAGCTCCTATTGCTGCCACACATAACAGAACTCCAGCTGTAGTAGTAGCAAATATTTGAAATATTCATGATCCAGATTATCAACTTATCACCCATTGGTAGAATTGGAATACCTTGAACAGATTGATCCTCGTGCTTTGAAACAATGCTAATTCCAAAAATTATACTTGTTAGTCCGAACAAAAATAATAACACACGTTAATATGACAAGATTGGTGAGTGCCAAATTCAGGAATATCTGAAATGCCAACTTTATTTCATCGTCTTAACGGTACTGATTGCGTAACGTTGAGAGATGCGTTATGGTATCTATAAATCATGAGTTAGGCCTACTACTGCATTAATATTCGAGAAAAAAATTTAAAATATTATCAGGATACGGGCTCTAACAGAATATCAATCAATCATAGGTCATGGCGTCGGAAGTAGCCATTTACTTTTCATATTCACGATACCCAATCAGAATTTGGTTCAGAAAACGAGCGCATCCGCCTTACAAAATCGTCTAAATGAAATGCTTATGCACAATTTTCATTTCATTACCAATTTCAATTAGAATATGCCATAAGAAATTATTCGTTTTCAAGATCCATCGTATGTACAGAAGTACTGGTGCAAGTATGGCTAAGGCTCAGCAAGAATTCACGACAGAGTTCTTCCGCAATCAGCATGTCAGAAGTGCAGCAAGTAACATTGCTGCTTCTGCTGTTCAGTCTCAGATGAGTCAGAATCAGAACCAAAACGCACCAAGATATTAGTAATTTATCCATATAATACATTATTTATTTAACATATTTTGATGAGATAATAGTTAATTTTTCAGTATTTATATCTGGAAGATACGTCATGTATGATTTACAATTGAAAATTTGAATTATTGTATATGATTACATGTAAATTTGCACTATATTGTTATTTTGTGATTTACATAATAAAAAGGGTAATTCAATATCAAAGAAAAGAATAAATATGTATTAACTGTTACATCGATTTTAAAAACTAGGTAGGCTGTAAATATTTCCATTGAGCTATTCTTGGTAGGATTTGTCAATTATATTGTTATCCCCAGGATCAGTTGAACTTCTGTTAGGTTTGAAATATGTTGCACTTGGACTTGAATATGTTGGTAAGTTGGTAGAAATCATGACCTTTTTGTTTGAGAGAGAATAGCTTGTACTTAAAATATCGGCCTCATTTAAGTTACACATTTGTAATACTACTATTTGACTGTGTTATGTTGTGCTAAGGATTATATTTGTTATATTTTTAATTTCAAAACGTGAAATGATTTTATAGCTGAAATTTGTTTCTCTTAATTTTCGATCATTTCTATATATTGCACTTTAGTGTATATTTACAAATTTGTTTATTTCCTAATCCTGAATCATAATAAACTAAGTCGATCTAATGTTTTAGTTTCCAAATGTAAAAAAAAATCCCCATGGAAATTTGGACTGACCCAAACGAAACATAAAGAACGGATTTTCAAGTTACTAAATAAATTTATTCATATTGTCAACGAGTAATAACTATACTTTTTATATAGCTGAACATACTATTTGGTCTTCAATCTCAGATACATTAAATAAACATGAGAAGTACTAATACATGGTATATTAAATAAACTAGAATAATCAGTTCAATTATTTGTATAGGCTGTAAAATCGGGATGATACAGGAGTGGCATGAATGTTCCAATATGCTTCCTCCGGAAAATTCACAGAATCCCAATAATCACCCCACGATACTATACATGTTAGAGAAATTTAGGATCATGATCACAACCGCTTGAAACTGCACTAAACTATCTTTCATTTAATCGAAAGCTAGTTGAATAACAGTAAGAATCATCTGAACTCTATTACAACTAATCAACGTTAAATATATTCAATTTTAAATCACATAATTATAATTGATTGCATAAAAGTTAGCTTTTTTTCAAAGTGAAATAGTGGAAATGTGTTCATTGAAAAAGTTATACCATTTCATCGATGGTGATACAAAATCAAAAAATGAATTTGGCATTCCCACATGATAATAATTTGCACCAAATTTTAAGTGAATCACTTCTCATGGCAGAAAGAACCTCGCATATTTCATGTTTATTGAGGTATACGAGTAAAAAGTATTATAAAATTCGCAAAAGAGGGGGAGGTACCAAAACTACACTCATTTTCAGTGATATTCACTGCTCTTTATTGCAGCCATTTCCGACATTTCGAATAATTATATAAGGAGGCAAGGAACGTTGAAAATCTCTTAGGATTCATCGGGACATCGTAATTTTTGAGGCAGGATTCTGAATAATGCCAGAAGAAATATTATACCTAACTCAATAATAACGGGGGTGCTTTCATCAGAAGGGGGAAAAGGTGCAGTTTTCAGAAATAATTGTGTCTAGTGAATTTTATGTCTTCCCAAGAGATTTTCAATCTACTTTGCCTGTAATCACTGAGTGTATTGTATCATGGATAATTCTTTTGCCCCTGAAAATGGTAGAATCTCACCAACGATTACAGATGATAGGTGAGATGTGAGACACTGTATATTCATTTGACTTCTGAAACTACCTGGAATTGTTCATTTGTTTTTTGAAAAAAAGCCAAATTTTAATTGACCAAATTTTTTTTAGATTGTGTCACGACGGCTGTGAACGCAAATCAGTTTCGTCCTATTCATTTATAGGTGGGCTAAAGAGTGAAAAAAAAAAACGGTTTCGTATTCATAGCCGTTTTGATGTCATGATATCCCAACAATTATTAACAATGCATATATTAAGATCACTTATTAAACTTTGGTTCAAAAACTAGTAAAAATTATCAAATCAATACAATAAGTACAGTAACTTATTGCTCGAGATCCTTTCCATAATTGAACATATTCACGATTGACAATGAGTATTTGTTTACAATTTTATTTACCTACTAATGATATGATATGGTGGATGAAATATATAATGCACAAATGCATGTTAGGATGTTCCATTTGAAACGAACCACCCTGTTTAACTCATGAGGACAAGATAGGTATATACAAAATATCATGGAATGCCATTTTCATTGGGGAAATGATTCGACAACAAACCCTTGAAGATGTTTGGATTGGAGCATTTTCGCTTTTTGGAGATACAAAACTTTTGAGTAATGACTAAATATTGTTCAATTTGTATTTGAGAAATTCGATGTTTCGAAAGTATTTTGATTCCCCACCCAAAAACTTGGTTTTATTCAGGGTTTTTTGTTTTCAATGGGACACATCAACTCACAGCCAAGGTGAATGAGAAATACACGATTATTCAGGTCAAACCAGTCAATCAGGATTCTATATTGAACATCGCGTTTGACGAGGAATATATGTAGTTTATTGAATTGTAAATGTCACTAGATCAACAAAGTATCTAAAATTGTTGAGCTGACAATTTCAGCATACATATATTCCTTCCATTTCTTACATGGTTCTAGCTGTGAGCCTCAATCTGCACTTTGCTACTGCAGTTATTTTTCAAGAACAGAGTTCTCTTGCCCAATAAGGATAACTTCAATAGCAAAACTCGCACAGTTCCTTAACCTATTAGGAAATGAAGGAACATAGAAAAAGAACTGTAACAATGAAATTTCATTCTTTCATACATGAACAATGAAAACATTTTTGAAAGATGCGAGATATTCACAGTTCTTTTTACGTGAAAGAAACCAATGTATTTGATAACTGCTGTTTTCCTACAAATTTCTGAAGGAAAACAGCATCATCATTCAGCTAAATAGCTACATTCATACTACTTCATTGCACTTTGAAGTTTTAAGCTAAAATAACTAATTTTGTATCTCATACAAAACACTTAAAACACATTTTAACATTAGTGGAAGTTGTCTGATTTTGTTCTTCTTAAGGGAAAAACAAATTCTACATATCGGGTAAGATCTTACAAGTTTAATATATGGTTTCATTTTTGTTTACGTATATCAAGAACCTAAGTACATTACCAACTTAGGCACAATAAGCAGCACTGACCTGAATTGGATAAAAATTAGTTAAGTCTACATATTGATTTTATGGTTGGTGTATACATATCATGAATTAATTGGAAACCGTGATAATGGACAATAATCCTGATTTAGGGACAAAGACAGTCGTAGTTATCTCCACAACTTTTTAATAAGCTATATACAGGGTGTCAAAGGTCTGAATTTACTGAAGAAATCAAGCGCTTCGCCGATGTAATGATATTCATCAGAACCATGATAAGGATTTTATTGCCCAATGAAGATACAACATATTTTTTTATACTTGAAGCGCACGAAAGGGAATCCCTATAATGTTCAAAGAACATCGTGCGTTCCTAGGGAGGCTAGGGACAGGAGGTAGGTATTGGAGTTTTTTTGAACTTTTGGAGATTATATGTTGTTGGGAATACTTCATATCAAAATTTGAGTAAAATATAATGGGCCGTTTCATAGTTATGAAGCAAAAACAATTCGAAAATGGTTTCTGAGCGCGTCTAGCGCCCAAAGTAAGCAACCTTGTACTGAGGTGAGTTTGCTTGCATGGAATTAATTTATACTGAGGAATATTTGGTAAGATTCTGTGAAGACCTTTTAGGGGCACCCTGTATACCATTTCGGACTGGTGTCACAGATATTTCCATACAGCCAATATCTCAGTTATGCTGCTTGGAAAATTTTGTCAAACTATCCCTGAAAAACCACCCCAACTTTTCTTCTCAAGTTACACCCTATACATTTTTTTGTTGATTAGTGAAGTGCAATCAATTCTAACTTCAAAGATGTAATAACACACTTGATATTTTGACATACTTATCACTTCCAAAATTACAAAATTCGAAGTGAAACAGTATCAGGTGTAGATCATTTCTCTCATGTTTTTTTTACAGTTGTTTATGCGCGCGTCTTTCAGTCATTTTTTTTAGCAGTTGTTCGTGCAAGCGCCTTTTAGTCAATTTGTAGGTAAATCTCAAATTGTTCATATCCATCATTCGGTTGCCCCCTTACGAGCAACCCTCAGAAGTCTTCAAGAGTGCGAGGAAGGAATGACGAGGCCTTTCAACGTGTGATCCCAAACACTTTCTTAGGCTATCAGCCAAATTTCGGCGGTCGTGGTGGGAATCGAACCCACCTATCGGCAATCCAATGTGGATAGAATATTGACGCTTCAACCACGAGGATACGCAATCCAAGTAAGACAATACATTTAACGTTCACTCCAAATAGTATTCTGTCAATTGGATGTCAGTTGAATTATCAAGTCTGATACATCGTTAGAAATGATTACACTTCACATAGCAACAAAAAAATGTATAGGGTGTAACTTGAAAAAATGAAGTTGGGGTGAATTTTCAGGGCCAGTTTGACAGAAGTTGAGTTTGACATAATGGCTTCAATGTCATTTGGGTTTAACAAAAGTCTAATTTTTTTTCCAATCAGCATAACTGAGATATTTGCTTTATGAAAAGATCTGGGACCCCTGGTACAGTCCATCAGTATGATAAGATAACATCACATTTCTATGATGAAATCCTATCATACTGCTGATGATGTTCAGATAATTATTACCTATTGAAAGCGACTAGCAACTAGATGCGCTACTGCTCAGTGGAATATGCTTAGATCAGAGCCTATGACAGACATGTGTGAAGACTGGCTCATACAGTGTTCGGCAGGCGGCCGAATTAAGAGTAAGTGTAACCCTTGTCCACGTCATTTGTGTTCGTGTTTATTGAATTGTGATCATAATATAACACCTATAGATCATTGAAAAGTTGTGGAGGTAACTTAGCCTCTATATGTTCCTGAATCTTATTCACTCCACTTGACACATTAGGGACTTCTACTCGAGATTGATAATTCTGATGTTTTTTAATGTTAAATAATTAAGTATTTTCTAGAAATACAGAATTAATAAACGAAATCATCGTTTTGTGTTTAGTTGAATTTAGTGTTTCTGTTCTTACATCTAAATAATGACAAATGTATAAGGACACAATTACATGAATTCCTTCCCTACGGACAATAATCACTTCATTATTAACCGCAATAAGTGAGAGATGTTTGTGAGCACTAAGGTTAACCGTCAGCTGATTCAGAAAATTAGCTCATGAAAATGAGCCTTGAAACTGCCAATTTTAGCGAAATAAAATAATGACGTGACAGCTATCATTTCATTGCATTATCATATTTTTGTGTTTTCTACTGTGTATTTCAGACAAAAACACACATCACTAATGGAAGAAATCAAATTAGATTATTATTATTATTATTATAGAAGGAGTGGGTAGTGGAAGTTGTGTATGTCTTGTTCACTACTTTGTTCTGAACACCTCATCTCTAATACCTATTTTTTCATATACAATAAAAAATGGTGAATGATCTCACTGAAATTAGATGAATAAGCATGGGGAATATCAGTACATTTTTTTATGGAATCATAGAACACAAAAATCCTGGATCTACAGATGCTACCTTTGCTGTTAAAAATGCATGCATACAAAATAACAGACTTTGTAGAATTGAACATTCTAGTTCCTGAAAAATAAAAAGATTCATAATATTACCTACATTACTCAAATATGGTTAGCTTACCTTTGTTTCGATGGCTTTTGATTCAATATCTTGAAAATGCAATTTCAACTTGGACTTTCCATCATCAGATGATCCTCTGAGCTGTGAGAATTTGTACTGCCAAACTGGTGTTTTGGAATCACCTTCATGTAAAGAAAATCCCAAATTCCAGTCCAAAGTCAGTCCAGCAGTTTTCCCATTGCTACTGACAGTGAAAGTTTTATTCTGAAAGGAAAGATAAATTTATTCAAACTGTTTTTCAGCTCATATTCATTTTGATATATCTACCCCTAATTTCATGACTGCTGTACAAACAGAACAGTGCCAAGCGTTTTCTATTCTCAATAGTTCTTGTCTTGTTTCTACAGAAAAATATCTGGAATCTTGACCAGAAGTTTGTACAAGAAAACAGTGCTGCCGTTCATCGACGTTTTCGGATTCTTTAACAACCCGAAACATTGTCTGATACACTTTGAACATGAGAGCACATTTGCTCCAATCAGTCACATTCAACTAGAAGTGAATATAATACAATTTAAGTACATTGACGAAATTAATCATCACTGTATCCGCGAGTATAAGACCAGTACACAGTATTGAGTAGGCAATGCCAGAAACAATACTGAATTAAAAAAACAATTTGTTTCCGTCGGTCCCTCTTGAATATATTCGTCCTTGAAGGTCAATAAGGAAATGGACTTTTCAGTTGATAACTTCTCGATAGTTAACAGGGACTAGCCATCATTAGCCCTATCATTTTTATTAATCTCAAACATCTTAGCAAATAATTGAAAAATGCAAGTCCTACCAATCAATTGAACCTTTTCCAGAAAAACGATTCAACTGATCAAAGTACAAAGTACCTCCATACAAAAATAGGAAAGTAGGCAATAAATACTTCAAACTGTTCATCACCTCAACAATAATTGTAATTATTACAAGGACGTCACAAAAAATACTAGTATAAGTAACTAGTAAGTTAGTGAGTCATAAATTCGCATTGCTATGAAAAATTGAAAGATATATCCAACAAGAAAGAGTACTGTAGGTTTCTGGTAAAAAAGTACAAAAATGAGCATCTGATGGTTTCAAAAATCTAATGTTGGAAGGTTTGCGAATTTTAAAGAAGTGGAAAATGGACGACGATAGTAGTCCAATGACCATAATTTATTTTATTTGAATCAGTATGACCATTTACATATAATTAACTAGAAACTTTATTCAGATGTTCTACATATTGTTCAAACTCCCAGTACAAGTCAATTGTACTACTCAAACCTGAATTTTGGCCGTAAACTAAGGAGAAGTATGTGAAAAGATCCATAAATTTTCCTATGATAACTTGTCTCAGGAAAATTTGAAGATGACTTCTTGGACACTATAACATTAAGATTCTATTTTAAGCAACAAATACCAGTTTGAATATTCACATAATTGCTTGAATGTTTTTGAACTAATCAAAATACAGTAAGATAAGGACAAGTACTCAGTTATCTTAGAGGTGTTATGAGAGTGTTTTTAATTGTGCATATGATGGTGATTTTCCAATAGGTCATAATAATTATTCTCATAGAATTTCATAGTTAGTCACTATATGTTGTTGAATAATCTTTTTTTTTTCAAATTCATAAATATTAGACTGAAACACCCATAAAATATGTTCCTAGAATTATGAATGAATGCTAATAAATACAACCATCAACCTGGAAAAATAATGGGTTTGGAACAGTGCAGTGTCTGATAATACAATAATGAGCAGAAAATAATGCAATTTATTTTATAAAAGGGATAAATCCTTGCAAAATTACTTTCAATGCATATCACCAAAATACTGCACTATTTCAATACAAAAATTTGTTTTTAAAGCAGCTACAACCAATTCAGTAATTCAACAGTGATATAACTTACAGGTGGTGAATCAAACAACATTAAATCAGTGCCCTTCAGAGCAAAAAACCTGGGTTTGTAGTTTTGCCAAGGGTGATTATTATTGAGTACCCCTTCATTAACCCAACCCATGTACTCTATTCGATCAGAAACACTGAAGTTCCTATTGTACAGTTTCATCTAAAAGATAAAATAATCATGGCCTTTCATCTCAACAGTGTGGCTTGCAAAGATTACTCACTTGTAGATTGGTTAATCCAATGATATTATCAGTAATGAATTTCAGCCACTGTGAAAGTATAGCAGAATCATCACAGTGAATGATACCAGTACTAATCCCATTCAGGCCCCTGACTTCAAAGGCATTTGGTCTCAATTTATCAGTTCCAAATATATACCTAGTAACATATGCCATCATCAAGGGTACTGTTATGATATCAACCCAGTGAGTTTGCATTAGCTCTGGTTCTAGTTCAGAGCAAATTGAACTTGGTCTACTACTAGTACTGTTTGTTGTCAACAGCAAACTCTCATCTGAAGCACCTTTTTCATCATTGATGTCAGTTTGTTGGGAGTCTTTATCATCTGTAAACTCATATTTACAATTTCTACACTCTATAAAAAAATAAACACTAACCTTTTTGTAAAAAAGGTGTGGCAGCCTTATAGTGTTTCACAGTCAAGACAACTAAGTCTCCAGCATTACGTAATATATTCACAGCATCATCATGAGGACAAGCTGTTATATACTCTCCATTAACTTAAAAAATTAATTTGGGAATTCAAGTAAACCAGGCAGTAAAATGCAATTATTACTAAAATATGAAAATTTAGGTGTCCCTCTCACTGAAGCTTACTATAATTTGAAAATTAAATCATTTCCACCAGCAAATTTTTCAATCCTAGTGCCATGAAGGATAAAACTTCTGTCTCCAAAACAAAGTAAAATTAATGATTTATGTGAAGTGTGATCTCTCAGAAATGATGACATCTTGGCAGCTGCAGCTGATCAGAGATTCAAACTTCCATGAAAAGACCATATTCAAAATAAACATGCTTGAACCTTATATGGCCTCTGTACTCAATAAATCCACTATGTCCTTGGAGAAGAATAATATACTTCACAATTTCCTAGACTAATTAGTGATTGTCAAGACAGACAAAAGTTGATGAATATACAAATTTGACACAAGTGATTTCAGATTGATTAATCAATTAATCATCTCAAATGAACAAATTAGGCATACCTTTAATAACAGCATCCCCTACGAATAGTTCACCTGTCTGATCAGCTGCTTGATTCTTGTAAATTCTGGAAATCAATATGGGTAGTTTGTGTTCAGCTCCCCCTTTAATGCTAAGTCCTAATCCACCAACTTTTTGTCTTCTAACCTGGACCATTCTCTCCTGTAATCAGATGAAAATCTTGTCAAAATCTCATATGACCTGAGAAAATGAATAATTGAATTCATGGTACTGCAACTCTACTATATGATGAATATTTTATGTTTCTATAATTGCCTATTGGAATATCATCTTGAAAATGGATGATTTCCCCCATTTTCAATTGTGATATTGTGGTCTATATGTATCTACCTACCTACCCATTCTGGGTTGTTCTGGGTGAACATCTTTCAGCTTATTTTTTGACTTGAGAATCTCAGGTGACATATTATATACATGATATATCAGGATAGTCAGAAAATAGCTATTTCAGTAATTACTTAATAAATGACTAAATGAGTATATAATGTAACATGAAGGTACCTTTGCATTCTGTGGTTTGGTCTCAGGAGGTAAAAGCTCCTCCTTCTGCAATCTCAACACTTCCATTGACAAATGTATTTGCACAGGAATGGGCCTAGTTTTACCATCACTAACTGTGACCATTCCAGTTCTCACTTTGAGTTTCTGGTCTATCTTCTCTTCAATTGGCGTTGTCATCCTTGTAGTATTAATCCTCATATTTGAAACTGGATCAAATTTCAATATAATGATAATATGTCTACACAACTTCCATAATATTTTACCTTTAATTCTAAATAGAACACTAACACCTGTCCATTAAAGGCAAATACATCCTCTGTGAACGTTTTAAAACTGATATTTCAGTGAATCTGAATTATCTTTGCAATAGCTGCCATTTTTAAAGGGCCAAAACAAACCATGGGGCCTGGGGTGTTTGATTCCACCCTACAGCTATTCCTTCAGCCATCTTTATGTCCAACTTCAACATATATCATTTTTTAGGGAATTTATCCTAGGACTGGGAATTGGGTAAGGGATACAGACACAATTGACACAACCCCCGTTTGCTCTAGTTTTTCAACTTTACCGTTGCTTTTTGCTTCAGTCAGCTTCAGCTTCAGCTTCTCGCTTAACCCTCAGTGTTGCCACAACATGAAACTATTTTGTACCAAAATCATTCATCATTCGTGAAGTGTACCAGATTCAACAAAAATGTACCAAACCCAAGGCACGTGCGCTCCAAAAACGAAAATTTCGGAATGGAATGTGCCAAAGATGGATATAAAGGTGGAATCAGTTTTCATTTTCTAAACGCCATCAGGACATATATACTCGAAAGAAAATGGCCAATATATGAACATAGGTCCGTGAATGCTTCGTTATCGCTGGCGCTACCGCTAAACAGCATGTTGAAATTTCTTATAATAATCAGTTTTTCATAGAAAGTTGGATGGCCCTTTCTGTGGGGTGAGAGCACTGTATAGTTCAGTGGGTGAGAGGGAGTTGGAGGAGAAGCGAGTTTTTTTGCCTGAGTTTCGCCCAAACATCAAACATCCGTTTAGCGCTTTGTATGATGTCCATGTTGTGTGCGAAAGTATCATCCATCAGATATTTTGTTCTTTGTGCATAAGTAATAACAAATACTCTTTCCTAATATAGTCTTCAAGGGATAATCCAACATTTCTTTGATTTGTTATCGAAAACATTTGATCAATTCTTGCTTTATTTTTGAACAATCACTGACTCGAACTTACCGCCTTGGTCAAAGCGTTCCGTTGGGCGAAACCAATTCTTAAGCCTGGTCATTTGTGTTTGTCATTCCTCCTAAACTTGATTTTTCCTAACTTTATCTGTTTACATATAATGCCATGAACAGAGACAACTATGGGAACAAAGTCAACTTCAGCAGGTTCAGCAACACAAACGATTGATTATTGACTTTGAAAACTGTGCTGAAATGAAATGATGCTGAAACTGCTGAAAGACCAACCTGAATCTGAAAAGTGACGGAATGTTTCTCGGTTCCGTGGAGCTAGAGCGTCCACACTCCACAGCTGCAAGATACCGAATAAAAAGCGGCGTTCACAACCAAACTTTTTACGTTTTGCTTTTTACGTTCCGTATTCTGATTGGTGAAGCGAAATCTGGAATGAAACGTGAATTATACTGAAGCAAATGTCATTCTCAACAAAAAAACGTCAACATGAGTTTTTACGGCTTTTCTCAGTTGCCTCGGTTTTGTCACTTGTGCTTCATCATGAAATGAAGTGAAATAATCACAACAATATAATACTAATTAAATAACGATTAAAATTCATGAGTACTGGCAGAGACGTAAATTGCTCCCTAAAGAGAAAAATAAATCCTAAAACGGAAAATATTGGGTGAGACTATCAATGAGGTATGGTGTGGAAAAAGGTTGAGTATTGAGTATTTGTCTAATTTTACATTTTCCTACATCATGCCATTTTTACACATGATGGCATCTTGCAACGCAAAAAGCTGAAAATATTCAGCTTTTTGCGTCATGTCCATTCCATTATTCACTTCACCAATCAGAATGCGAAACGTAAAAAGCAAAACGTAAAAAGTTTGGTTGTGAACGCCACTTATGAATAATTGATTCTGCTGACACAACATGCAAAATTGGAAGAATAACTGTGAATACAGAAAACATCTAAAGTTTACTTGATCTTAATCCCACTAGCGCCTCTGGTGGTTCACCCTAGATCATACAGGGAAACTGATTTCCGTTTTCCGAAATCTTAAAGAACGCTTCCAACAGCTTTTTTTTGTTTCTCAAATGATTTAACCGCGCAAATCGTGATGGAAATAATATCACAGTATATTAATTATCATCATGTTTGTGATAATATGCAGTATGACTTGTATTGGAACTTGTATCTATTGAAGGTACGGTAATTCCAAGAACATAAATATTGATATTTTAGAAATAATGTTATTTGAAAAATCCCGATCAGTAGAGCCCTCTATCATAAATTGGACTGACAACATGAAAATATTTGAAAATCCATTCATATTCCCCTTTATCTTTTATGAAATAACAGACAAAACTACAAAACAAGAGCAAAAACAACTTTGTTGGCATCACTGATTTTCTATCTCGTTTATTTGTTACCGGCAAAATTCAAAGAGACATGTCCAAATTCATATATATGTTGCTAAATATTATTTTTATAAATAACCATTAACAATTCTTAAAATGATTATACCTGACAGATTGGATGTTTGAGAATAATTATCAATATTAGTTGAACTCCTGTTTTCTGTGTGTGGCTTGTTTTATGGAAGTTATTCTGTCTTCCCATGTGATGCTGATGTGCTTTGTGCTGCATACCCAAATCTGAAGGTAAGATAATTGAACCCTCCTATGGGATTTAATGAAAATAAAATAAATAATGAAACTTTAGGAATAATATATGTACAAAACCAATCAACAAAGATCAATTAAAGTATTTAGAATATAATGTCTTGTTCACTCTTGAAGCAGAATCCTTCTTCAAAAAGTCACTTATAAACCTTCCAGTCTCAATGAGTTTCTTCAAATCCACGCCAGTTTCCATTCCCATACCATGCAACATATACACAAGATCTTCAGTAGCAACATTTCCTGTGGCCCCTCTAGCATAAGGACATCCACCTAGACCAGATACTGAGGAGTCAACTACAGTGATTCCATGTTCCAAGGCTGTGCAAATGTTGACCAATGCTTGTCCATATGTATCATGGCAATGCATTGCTAGCTTGTCAGCTGTTGTGATTTTCAACAGGTCTTTCAACAGGTTTTCTATGGTTTTTCTTGTTCCTACTCCTATGGTGTCTCCAAGAGATACTTCATAGCATCCATTAGATAGTAGTGCCTCAGCCACTCCAGCAACAGATGCTGTATTGATTATTCCATCATAGGGACAGCCTACTACACAAGATATATAGCCCCGTATCTTGATATTATGATCTTTAGCTATCTTCATTAGTTCAATGATTCGATTAATGCCTTCTTGAGTGGAGCAATTTGTATTTTTTCTTGAGAAACCTTCAGAGGCTGATGCAAATACTGCAACTTCTTTCACTCCAACTTTGAGCTGGAAAATCATTTGAAATTTAATGGGTCAAACATGTACCTACTTAAATTCAATAGGTATTCAACATACTGCTTCTTCCATTCCCTTTACATTTGGCACTAGGACTGGATAGGATATGTAATCTTTTTTTGTGATTCCTGAATAAACTTTGGTATTGTCTCCCATTTGTGGTACCCATTTTGCACTTACAAAACTAAAAAGAGGTAGTAGGTATATTACATATTTTACCAATATCAACCCATGTATACCTAGTTACTTCAATAGTTTTTAGGCCTGTTTCAGATAGCTTATTGATGAATTGTATTTTAATATCACTTGGGACATTGACAGGCTCATTTTGTAATCCATCTCTAGGGCCCACTTCTACAATGCGAATATTTGAGTTTTGCTGGAATATAGGAGAGTTTTCAATTGATGAGTGACATGAATGTATGCAAATAACCTCACTCTTGAATTCTGTTCAAAACTTGGAAACAATATTTTCTTAGAAAAGTTTCTGCTTGATCGTAAAGCCATATCAATGCAGAATGAAGGGTTATCTTTATTGTTTTCAATTTTAATGCTCATTCATTCCCAAGGCCACATTTCGTAAGATTTTTGAAAATTTGACCCCTCCGCCATCATTCATTTTTGATATCACAGATCATGAGATCACATATCACATCACAGCGCAGGCGGCTAGCGACACGGATTCCACTTTGCGAACCTAAAAAAAAAACATGGAAATAGCGAATCACTATCGACCTCAACAGTAAATGCCTCCACAGTACATTTTTCTGAGAAGAAGGAAAATGAAACATAAAAAAGGGTAGGTTGAGTAGGGATTTGAACCTTGGATCTAAACACGTAGCTCAGTTCACATTGAGTTCATTGGGCTATCGTAGTTTTGATTCGTACCGTACTTGTTACCATAGATTAATAAGTCCCGCATGTACAAATTCAAAATTAAAATTCAATTCACGGTCAACTTTATGCGCATGCGGAAGTCTCAAAGCAAAAAGGAAACCGTGTCGCTAGTCGCTTTAATCAAAATCTACAATCACTTCGCTACAATCAGTGGTGTCGTAGTTGAATTGCCGACATTGGCGACCTTCAGCCGAGGTGATATTATAGTTTATGTACTATCCAGTAGATGTCACATGTAGTTTGATCTGTTAAATCGTGGGAAACTTTGTTCACATATCTTAGATGGCGCCCGTAGTATGGAACGGTATTATTATTATCATAGCATAGATAAACTACGTTGTTTATGTATCATAGGTTCCATTTACTGATGAGTAACGCGTGAACAAAGATTATCGTGAAGAAAGACGTCCATACTGCTCATAGTGTAGTGGTTGTGTTTGAAGAAAGAATAAATCTCAAAATCATCTCCACGACATTTAATAGGTGAACGGGTGAACATTGTTATGTTATATAAGGAGATACATGTTTCGGACCGATAAGTCCATCATTAGCCAAAAGGGGTCTATAATGTCCTACGCAAGAGTATACAAACTAGTAACAGGAATATGTGTTGTATGATTTTTTTTACATGAGGATGAAAAAACAATTCTCAAAAGTTGTAGAATTTTAAATTCATTGAATACACTAAAAAGGGAAATCAAGTTTTTTTTATTCTAAGAGGGGCCTAGCTGTACCCTCTGATATAACCTCAAGAGGTTTTCATCAGGTGAAAAAACAAATTATCAAGTTTCGAAAAAATCCATACATAGGTACGTCCGAGTGCAGAAAGAGGTTTAGCTCTATAGTGTGGGTGACAAGATGTCAACGCGACAGATAACAGACAAAATTTATACAACACATAATATCCTATATTGTAGGACGTAATATAGATATAGGTACCACTTTTGGCTGATGATGGGCTATGGGCTCATCATTATATAGGTACCTGAAACATGTCCCCTTATGTAACATTACAATGCTTCCCTATTAAATGTCATGGAGATGATTTGGAGATTTATTCTTTCTTAAAATTAGCCCTCTTTTGAGGGAAAAATAAGACGACCCATTTGTTTTACAAATATTTATTCAACTGGTTGAAGTATATCTCATTCTTAGTAGAAAATAATTTCAAATTGAATATAACAATCATTTTCTACATTATATAAATTAGGATTTCTAGAACAATATTTCAAAGGAGACAAAACATTTGTCATAACAATCATTATGGTTTACAAATAGATACATTTTCATTTAAACTAGACTCAAAAAATCATGGATTGATTTCCTAATTGATGTTGGTAGATTGGAACAAATATTCAGATATTTTCATAAGAAATCCAGAGGCATTATCAGAAATGTTAACCAAATAATAGGTGCGATGCTATTTTCGAGAAATCATTTGAATCTTCCTACACATTTGGTATTCATTATTAATATAGATACATTTTCGAAAGTTACCAAGGTAGGTAATGTTGGGTTTATAGATTCAACTAAACTAAGAATTAAACTAACAAATGAACTTGAAACGTTGAATACAACGAAACATCTATGAGGGTTTATAAATTTACTCCTTCCATTTAAATTAAGAATTAAGAATTACAAACTTGGCCAACTTTCAACTTAACAACTAAGAATTAGGAAATTATGGAAACAGAACATATAAAGATAGGATTTGTTTTCGTTCAAGTGTGGTTTGGTGATATTTTATTGGATTATCTTTTATGGATTCATGAATTGTGAAAACCAAAATCATTTTTTAACATCATTTCGACATACACCCTCATGATTATTAATTGTTGATTGTGAGTTGTTGATTCCTAATTGTTAATTTAATTGAATCTATAAACCTAGCATAAGGAATATAAAATGATCCATTCACATATATGATCTCAGTAGCTTATTCCCTAATGAGATTAAAGTATTGTACTTCTAGTTATTGCTATACACGATGCAATTCATGATGAATTTGGTTGAATCAATTTTCCATTGAAATTCGAGGCACTGAACGATATGGACGGAACATACAACACTAAAAACTTTTACTGACTAGATCTTCTGGTGTATGCACCTCCTCGCATATTTCTGAATTATCTATCAATCTATCACAATTATTCACCCTTGAAGCCTAAATTATTCTGACTTGACTATAGATGTGAGAGTACCAAAAAATATCCAAATCGAATGACTGGCGACACATGAGCTGTATTGGTACCACTCTGTAACTTTTATTGTTAAGTTAGGTTAGGTTGTTGTTCCTCTCAAAAGGTGGATATATAATTCGATATACATGAGTATAAGTACCTAACGATGATTTAAACTTCATTGTTCTATTTTACAAAAGTAACATAGTGGATACCTAGTATTCTAGGCCCGTCCGGGGGCCCCCAGTTAACACAGAATGATCCCAGCGAGATATTAGGGGGCATCACATTCATGACACGCCCGTGACTCGAATTGAGAGTCCGGCTGAAATCACATTTGACCGCTATTCCGGATCCTTTCGGTCACTTTATGATTCACATTACGATGCCAAATAAAACTCGCATTAATGTATTAAGCGACTCCCCATTCAACATGGAAATTGATTAATTTGGTTTGTTACATAAGTGGCCAAGAATGTGAATTGATAACTGCACAATTACCCCATGCAGTGAGTTTCTTGGTTGTTAGGGAGCAGAATATTGCGAATGTTTTGTAATATGAAGACTCCTCTGGCAATACCAATGACCAATGATGTCTTATTTTTCGCATTGTTACCTAGCGAGATATGAATGTAACATCCCAGGGATGTTTGTGTTCACTGGGTTGAAGTTCCTTTTGAAGTAAATACACGTGCAGCTCGAGGCGCTCCAATTGACTCTGGAATTTGGATAAACATGTCACCATCAGTCCCAGCACTAGGTGATACTGTATAGAGACGAAAGACATTATTGTTGATATGCAAAGGCACACTTATTAGAATTTGGAATAATCCATCAATAAGCTTCTACCTGAAGGTATAGTTGTTATGTAAGTACATTTCAGTACATACCAGTTTCATTCAGTTTCGTTAGCTATTGCGTTTAAAGATTGTCAAACCTGGACAAAGATAAATAATTTCGCATACATACAATCGTATATGCTTATGATATAAGTGCTGGTCGTCAATAAAGTAGGTACCTACATTAGATTTTGTACATCTATTTGGTATAGGTTCTAGCTGTATTATACCCATTACATCACTGATGGAAAATATAATGGGATACTGGTCACGATTTTCTCAAAGGAAAGTATTGGTAAAAAAACTATAGTATTCCAAAAGATATAACTCCACTCCTTTCTACATTCAGCTATAAGTTTATACAAGTGTAGGTACCAATATATAAGTGTGCTGAAGAGTATAGTATCTAGGTGTATGACTTATGTATATAAATAATAATTTAACTACATCTAATAAGTACATAGGTAAGTAAAGGTAAGTACCCTATTTTTTACGGATTCTATATCATTGATTGAAACCTATAATTTTTGTGTAAAATTACACACTTTTATGTTACAAATTATTAATAAGACTCAATCGGACAATATGGAGTTTACCCTAGGGCTCACCATTTTTTTTTCCATGATACAGGTGAGGAAAGTTTACGTTTTTATTCCTGTTTTGAAAGGAAAGATTTTCAGATAATTCAGTGAATATCGGTACCTTATATATATAATAAGTAGTTTGAGAAACTCACTCTATATATACATATTATCATACATATATGTATGTTCAATGTATAGCGTTGAATATCTTGGCTTGTATTTCACAACCATCTATATTAGAGTGAGTACTTCATTTTCCTCCATTCACGTTAAGAAACTCGATCGCCAAAGGTTTACTGGTTATGACGTACATGCCAAGATTATATTCATTTGACTATACCATTGCTATGTACTGCATTCATCTAATGATCTAGTATATTTATTTTTGGTTTATCTTACATACTAATATAAATATATTATTTAAGTACTATCATGCCAAGACTAGAACTATATAGTTTGAAACAAATTATTAGTCTACTTGAATATCTTCATAGATTTTTCATTATTGCACTTTCTCTTGCAGTTTTCAACAAAAACTTCCTGCAAAAGTAGGAGCAATTTTGAAGTCTGTTATTTTATTGAGCATTAATTAATTCATTACTAGTGGTAACTCACTGAATTTACTTCACTTCAATAATGAATTATCTCCGAAAGGACAATAGCAATACATCACAATTTCTCTACCATATAATTATATTTATCGTTTTCAAATGTGAATAGATTCAATGGCAAATGCATTTTTGAAACAAATGGAGTACTTGCTATAGTTTTACAATTTATTGTGAATTAGTGCATATTGTCCTTAATTGAATATCTTATTTTCGGTAATAACAAAAATGGGTTCCTAAAATATTCGTGAATTCACTAAATATATTCATTATTCATTAGAAATATCGGATACTGCGCTTCTGAGTTCTACTCATGAAGGACACTACAACAAAACTGAAATTTTGAAACATTCTAGAATAGTTTCATGTCGCTTTTTTTTTAAATTTTCAGTTTGTCTCAATATCATGATAAATAATCACTTATGTCACAATGGAACATGGAACATGTTTACATACACTTAGACCGCATTTACTGCAATCTGGCTTCCTGCAATGTTTGAGCTTGAGCAGCTGTCTGATAGGGAATACCAGGGAAAGCTCCTGCAGTTCCTGCGGGCAAACCTGGAGTTTGAGGAAGAGTCGCATATGTGTAAGGCATGTAACTTGCAGCACCTGAAAATAAAATAGGCTTATTATAGCGTTATTCCAGAACTGTTAGTGATAGGTCACGTTATACAGGGTGAGTCATGACTAACCAGCCATAGCCCAATGGCGGATAGAGGAGGTCAAGGTGAGTTGATAATGTTGATATATATATAATAAAATATTTTTTGCCTATTCTTTACAGAGATACAGGGCATTATTTGAATTCAAGGCAAAACTCCAATGAACGATATTTCAGGAACGTCTCGATGTTATCGGCTGAAATTCACTAGCAACTTACCTCTAATGACACTCCACAAGATGACGTACTATGAATAAAAAATTCCAGATCCGGACTTGGAAAACTCATTTTCTCTTTAGATGTCAAAATTTTGACCTTCTGGATCGGATTTTTCGAAAACTTATATCAGAATCGGAAAGATCAGGAAAAATACTACAAGTATGGCTATTCAGTTCGTACGGCACACCTCGATCGTTTTGGTAAAAAAATATCAAACAAAATACCGATGAATTTTTCTTCGATTTCGTCCGGGCATATCACTCTCTACATTCGACTAAAAGTAATTGAATCAAATTTTTCCCTGGAAAGATTCAACAACACACTTGAGAAAAGGTATAATTCAATAAAAAAATCAGGACCGGACTTGATTTTGGAAAATAACAATCATAATTTCCGAAAAAGATTTGTCAGAATCTTAATATCATTCAAGATTCTCGAAATGTCCTCCTCCAATTTCTAAAAATTTTCTGCATCTCTTCGGAAGATCTCTTATGGTTTTCCCAATAATTTGCTCATTATTTCTGATATCTGCAGCTATAACTATCCTCTCCCTCAGTTCGTCTCTGGTGTTGACTTCAGTCTGATAGACAGACCAATTGTTTCATATGCCCCCAACGAAAATAGTCCAAAACTGTGAGATCAGGGGACCTAGGAGGCCAAGAATGAGGGTCGCCACGACCTATCCAGCGGTTAGGAAAATGGGTGTCCAGGTATTCTCTCACTTGTATTGAGAAATGTGGAGGTGCTCCATCCTGTTGAAAGTAAAGAACTCTTTCATTCACATTTTGCGCCGCCAACAAGTTGGGCAGAACGTTCTGAAGAAAATTCAGATATAAGTCCCCTGTCAGTCGTGCAGCTCTTGAATTGCCATCACAAAAACCGTATACAAAAATAATATCTGTATATTCAACGTTAGTGAAATGCAGTGGCATTTTGAAGATATGAAATGGAATATGAAATTATAAAATTAGTAACAGTATGTATTTGAAATTATCAACAATGAACTAGATGTCATTTGACAGTTTCAACAACCGTCAAAAATCGAGTCAATGACATACACTACTATATCACAGCCATCTTTTCATGTGTATTCGGAATCGATGAACTATTAAAATCACAATTTGATTTTCTGATTGGGAGAGTTCACAAGAAATGAGATCATAGTCAGTATTACTTCAAATGGAAATCCCTCCATGTAGTATAAGTTGGCACGTATATCTGATTCGAAAAAAAATCTGCTACCAAAGCAACAATTGTTCTTATTGAATACAATGTTTTCACATTATCACAAGTAGAAGTTAGATTTCAATTGAAAATTGGGAGAGGATAGTTACAGCTGCAGATATAATCAGATATAATAGGCAAATTATTGGAAAAGCCATAAGAGATTTCCTGAAAAGATGCAGAAAATGTATAGAAATTGGGGGAGGACATTTCGAGAATCTTGATTAATATTAAGATCCAGACAAACCTTTTTCGGAAATTATAATTGTTATTATCCAAAATCAAGTCCGGTCCTGAATTTTTTATTGAATTATACCTTTTTTCAAGTCTGCTGTTGAATCATTCTAGAAAAAAATTTGATTTAATTACTTTCAGTCGAATTTAGAGAGTGATATGCCCGGAAGAAATCGAGGAAAAATTCATCAGTAGGTATTTTGTTTGATATTTTTTTACCAAAACGATCGAGGTGTGCCGTACGAATTGAGAAGCCATACTTGTAGTATTTTTCCTGATCTTTCTGATTCTGATGAAGGTTTCCGAAAAATCCGATCCAGAAGGTCAAAATTTTGACATCAAAAGAGAAAATGAGTTTTCCAAGTCCGGATCTGGAATTTTCTATTCATAGTACGTCATCTTGTGGAGTGTCAGTAGAGGTAAGTTGCTAGTGAATTTCAGCCGATAACATCGAGACGTTCCTGAAATATCGTTCATTGAAGTTTTGCCCCGAATGCAAATAATGCCCTGTATTTCTGTAAAGAATAAGCAAAACATATTTTTTTACATATATATCAACTCACCTTGACCTCCGCTATCCGCCATTAGGCTATGGCTGGTTAGTCATGACTCACCCTGTAGGTATAGGTACCGTTTTATTTGAAAGTAAAAATATACAATGTGGCCCATCGAAAACGTACCGCGCGGCATTACAGGCTGGGAAAGAACGTTTCGATACAATCCGAAAACAGGTCAAGTTTGTTTGTCAGGGGGACACAATTTGACGTAACAAGCATAGTAAAACCTTCAAGTAGGGGTGTCACCCCAACATTTTTTTCAAATGGGAAGGGTGGTCAAGCGATACACCTCTTTAAAAGAGGCTTGTCATTCCCTATACAGTGCTGCTTAGATTTTCCAAATCGATCTACTCTTTCAGAAAATATGGAGCGTTGAAACTCCAACCATCATGTGGGACGAAAAATACAAAAATCGGTTCAATTGTACTTCAGAACTCATTTATTAGTCAAGTAAATGTTCGAATTACTGTGCGTTTGCATTTGGGGTGTCACTTCGCGACATACGATAATGATTCTTTGTCGCAACTGTTCTAATGTGTCTGGTGGTGTTTTGTAAACAAGGTTTTTGATGTGTCCCCACAAAAAAATCTAAAGGACTCAAGTCGGGTGACCGAGATGGCCATTTTATTGGGCCCCGTCGTCCTATCCATCGTCCTGGAAATGTGTCATGTAAATAATTGCGCACATTTTGGGAATAATGATGAAGAGCTCCGTCTTGTTGAAAAATCAGTTCCTGGTCATGGTATGCGGAATCGTTCTCAATGATATTTGTTAGAGCTGGGTCGATGGCATTCTCTAGTAAATCCAAGTACATATTGCCTGTTAAATTTCCAGGAAGGAAAAAAGGTCCTACAATGGGATTTTCAAAAATACCAGCCCACACATTCAACTTCTGGGGGTGTTGCGTGTGTGTCTCGTGGAAGATCCTTGAATTGGTGTCAGCCCATTCACTGAACCATTGAGGAAGAAGGAACACTCGTCAGAAAAACACACATTGAATGAAAAATTACCATTGTGTAATGCTCGCTCACTCATAATTTCGTAAAATTGCAAGCGACGATCAAAGTCGTCTTCATTCAGTTCGTGCACTAAGCGAATTTTGGAAGGATTGAATTTGTATTTTTTCAATACACGTTAGACACTTGTACGAGACACACCCGTCGCAATGGCCAATTGTCTTGTACTTAGCGTACTATCAACTGCAACTTGCAATACTGCTATCTCCGTAGGTTCATTTAGTAGTGGATTTTCAACCTCTCTCTTTTTGTTATGAACTGAATCTGTTTCGCGAAATGTTTTCACCAATTCGCGAACAATTTTTTCAGAGGCATATTTGTCAGGATGCCGTTGGTTAAACAACTCCGTGACCCGATTACCACGTTCATCAATACACCATAATAATAAATTTTTAAGTAAACAATTCATAAACACTTCAACCACGACAGGTATCTAGCAACTAGTTTAAGAGACAGTATGTTGAAAACTATGCATTTTCGGACCCACGTTATATGTGATTTGCGCATAATCGCATGCGCATCCGGACACCCTGTATATATACACTCTGTCATTTATGCAATGAATAATAATAACAACAACTCTATTTAATACTGTCTGAAGGTTAATCGAGGAGTTAGCACATTCATTTTACCAGATTTTTTGGGATTCTCCTCGTTTATTGGTAGAAAAAAGTATTATTTCAATAGACCTGTTGTAGTAAGGACAAATCAGATGATTTGCCCCAAGGCCTGACCAGGAAAGTAGTTGTTTTCTGTTGAATAAACCCAATCAAGGGGTTCAAACTTGAGCGATAGAAAATTGTTATTTTTATAGACCTTCAATCGCAGATTCGTGATTAGGTTTTCTCAATTCAGAATTTCTTTCCACGTCCTGTATGATCAATTAGTCATCCATACATCCAAAAATATATATTTCGTGTTTGCTGGGAAGCTAATTAACGTTTGCCGCTTTGGCTTAGCGATCTAATCAAGTCTTTTTGACAATCATCTTTGAAGGTGGAAATTAGTTGAGCAATCATGAACCAATAGTTGGTATCAGAAAGTGAAATTATTTTTCATGTTGGTATTGCACAAATGTAGGTATTCACCTACTTACCTTCCTATATGCATATATTGTGGTAGGTAAACCAATGTGACATTATATAGTGTGCAATGCATACGAGTATCGAAGAGTTGTCATAATAAACTCTTGATAATGCCAATTATCACGCAACTTCGTGTATTGTTAAAATTTTAATTTGAGGGGAAACATTTTTGTGGAAAATAATGAGCTCTGGAAAACCAGTAGGCAGTTGATAATGTCAATAAATCAATGTTTTTATATACTACACTCGCTAACTGACGTGGAATAATAGTTCGTATGTAATAGCTATTTTGAGTGGTATATTGAGAACGTTCCAAATTTTAATTGATAAGTCCTGTCCATATTCAACAGGTCTGCTGAAGTACCGTATGTCTACTATACTAATGGTGTACCAAAATTCAACCACAGATATGAGTTGGAACTTTGAGAACAATATGTATAGGGTGTCCGGTGAACCATGGATCATACTCTAGCTGGTGATAAACAAGTTCATAACCTATATCAGAACCCACGACTTGAAATCCTCACGGTTCTCGAAATATTGGAACAATTATATAAAAAGAAATAATTTCTATCCCAGAGACTTTTTTCATGTCCAAGCAAATAAGGAGTATTTCATTGTTGATTCTCATTTTCGATACCGAATAGTAGTTGTAACAATTATTGTAGATCGCAGAGTTTCGAATCATTTACGGTCTACATAAAATTCTAATAATCGAAAATCTGCCTTCTGCGATTGGTACTACTATTCAATAATTTTATCGAGAAAAGGAACTTATTTATCACCAGCTAGAGTATGATCCATGGTCTACTCAGTCTACTGGATACCCTGTATAAACTTGCGTGTATCTTCGCTCCTTCATACCTCGGACAAAAATTAACTATAATGAGCAGATGCTTTATACAACAATTATTCTGTTATCACTTCGGTATTTTGCAAATGTTCATTTTATGAATTAGGACTGTCCGTTCCCAAATGCTTCAATATCTCTAGAAAATTTTCAGTTTATCAAATTGGAAAAATGCTTGATCCAGTACAGGAGTTATGCATTGAATATCATAGTCCAGGGATAGTATTTTTCATCAAAAAACTCTTGCATTCCCAAATAAAGAGTATAGGTAATTTATCGAAAATGCTTTTCAATTTGGTTCTGTTCTCATTTGGTGACATGTGGTATTTTCGTATTTTGTATACACGAGACAACAATCATGGGCGTTTCTATTGCAGTGCCATGACCGACCCCTGCTCATGTATTTGAAAATTACATTTGTTCATGTCTAAATATCAAAAGTACCTACACTTATCTATCTGAAAATATCAGCATCCAAGTATGTTTCTACGTTCTTATGTGTGCAGTATTTGTTTTCATAATAGATGTTTGCAGCCTACTGAGATAATTAAATGTTTTAAAATTGTTTCAAAGATTTGTGCAATACATTTCGCTATCAAAGAGGCACCACAGAATAAAATAGGTAATAATTTCGATATTTCTGTCTATAACCTTTTAGTATTTCTAAATAGCTAGTTTTTGAGCTTCGCATTTTAATTTTGAATTTAGTTTACAATTCTTGTTATATCATTGTATTATTTGTACTCTCTTTTATAATAACTCTGTGTCATACCACGTATATCTAAGTTGTTCTGTGGGTAGTTATAACGTTTATTGAATGACAATACTTGTGAATATTGTAATTATTCCTGAATAATAAACATGCATTCATTCATTCACACTTCATTATTTACCTGCTGCCCCTGTATAGGGCGTGTAGGCATCGAACCCATTGGCGTACTGCCCCGTGTAAGGCGCCGCAGCAGCAGCTGCCACTGCGGCTGCGTTCTGGTACTCGTAGAACTGCGACGTTGCCGCTGCTACTGCGGCTGCGTGCGTCAGCTGCGTCGCTTGCAGCGGAACCAGGCTGCCCGGCGCTGTTGCCGTCAGGTACGGCGACTGGTAGACGTACCCGGGCGGTACCCTGGAAAATATTGGATAGCGTTAGGAATTGAGTGGTAGCGGGGGGTCGGAACACAGCAAGCAACACCAGGAGAAATACCAAAAACACCTCTGATGCACTAAATTGCCCAATTTCAAAGATTCCAGAGCACTTCTTGTCGGCTTTTGAGCGCAATATTTATCCTCATGGCCTGCAGAAATGGACAAGAGCTGTAGAATTGAAACATTTTGGAAACGATGCAGTATACAAAATCCCAGGAGTATTGGTATGCCTGGCGATTGAAAAAGGACACTATCCTCCGAATGAACTAACATGCACCTATTTTTCACTGTCCAAGAAACATACAACCCCGTGGCTTCGAATAATACAGGTAGCAAATGACATGACTCATCGGAAACTATGAGAAGGCTCTCCGAATTTGATGATAGAAGAATGATGTATGACAAGCTGACTTCTGGACATACGGTCATAAGTATTCTTGAAATGGGTCCAAGAATCGCGTCCTTGAATAATAGCATGTTTTGAAGGAACATCCTTTATAGAATGTCTCATAATTAGGGTATTCCAGTGTTAGCTCACCGATCAGTTCTTATTATTATCAGCACACGATTTTATAAGGTTGGTATATGTATGTTTGTATGTATGTATTTATGTTTGTTCGTATGTTTATATGTAATGAATGATATCGAATTTATTTCAAACTTTGTACACTTATCAAGGACCGACGACAATGCCATAATAATTTAATAGTTTTGTTTCATTATCCTGATCAGAATCTTCGGAATGAGCGATTGTTTTTCCTCGAATGAAATATGAACGTGCCTATTCCTTCGAATAACGGCAGTACTGTACTGGAATGAATAGTTACATTCAAAGAGATGGGAGATCTTGATCCACTTCAAAACGTCGAAACATTGAAACTTCGCACACTCTATACAAGACCGATGACAATTACAGTAGCATAATTGTATAGTTTTATTCCATTATCCTGATCAAGATCTTCAGGATGAGCAATTTCCTGATAGAGAAACAAGGCAGTGCCTTACACCAATGTACTCGTATAATACAAACATAGTTCACATCCAGAGAGACGGTAGTGTCTTACACCAAGTACTCGTATTAGTCGTATGAAATGAATTTTCGGGGAAGGGAGCATGATGAACGGTTACGACATCCAAGTAAGGCAACAGGCGCACAAATTATCTACTCTCACTGCAGGGTGGTAGTTACAAAACATATAGAAAAAAAACTAAAAACTCGCTTTTGCAGTTAGCCGAACTAAAATATAGAAAATTGATTGTAGTTTAAAAAACCGGAAAAACACACTTTTATAAATAGACAAACTGAAGATAAATTAGAAAATAAAATAATAAAGTGTGCTGATAAATACATGAAATAGAAAATTATAGCACCTCCGTAATCATTATTTTCTATGTTGTGTATTTATCAACACACTTTTTTCTGTTTTCTGTCTTTAATTAACCCATTATAACACCCAATTGCGTATCCAAACAGCTTCAATTAGGACACGCTGAACGTCTTTTTTCAAAGTTGCTGATGGTAACGTCAAACTGTCGACACACTAGCGTCTAGCTAGATACAGGACGCAACAAACAATCCTATGTTTCACATAAGTAACAGTTATTATATTTATGAACAAAATATTGATTTTGATGTTTTCTTTGATGACATTTTTCTGGATAAAAGAGTACAGAAGAATGCAAAATGGGAAAAAAATAGTATATTACACACGTTATACAAGACATACTGTCGCACTAGTTTTTCTGGAGCGTGCGACAACATATTGTCTTATGAAACTAATAATATACTATCATCATTCAATTTGCTACTTTTTTTTTCAGTTTGGCTTTCTATTGAAGCGTGTTTTTTAGGTTTTCAAAACTATAATTTATTTCGTTGTATCTTCTCACAGAGTACCTAAACCAATTATTCTGATTTTTTCTATTCACATTGTTTTCAAAGTTGTCATGCATTGGAAGCTTTCAGTGTCGGAGATTCTGAATATTCACATGAGGAGGCCAGCATATCATTTGATTCAATGAACATTAGTGCCCTAGCTGGATCCTCAGGGTTTGATACATTCAGACACCCCTTATTTTGAAACTGGGTCGATGTACCGAATACATCCCTCGGCCTAAGGGTGCCAATTCCCCCTCTAACCAGTTCAAGTTCAAGACCAAAACCATTAAGTCCCTCACCCCTTTGGGAAGGGGATCTCATATGTGTTGGGGTAAGTGAATTGGCAGAACATTACAGTGAGCCATTTTTTCGCCAACAATTCTGATTAAAGTGTTGGTTTTATTTTAGAACTGCAAGTCATCGAAATTTTCCTCTGCAGTTATTACCTACCAGGAAGAAAACTCAAATCGAAAATATTGATGATTATAAAAGTTTTCCGTCAACTTCGTTTTAACCAGTTCGATTAATCTACAAGTAATTGATCGTTAATGACTCCAATAATATATTAACGATCAAATTGTTCATTAACGAACGATTGCTGTGTAGGCAACCAAGCATACATCGGCGTCGTATCACTGTTGTAATTATAAATCATGGAATCTGCATTTAAATCATTTCATCGACGATTTCAACGTTTCTGGACCGATTTTAATTCCTGTTTTGGTGTAAGTGGTTAGATTCGAAATAAAAATTCCAGTGGCGCAGCAGTGGGTTACCTCATCGATATTCATGGTGAATAGCATTGTACGGCTACGCCACTGGTTTTCTTAAGATTCATATTTTTATTGATCCGATTTGACTCCAAATTTTGAGGACACCCATTGAGATTACTCAATTACCTCAATAATTATAATCCTGAAACTTTGTCAGTTATCAGTCAATTTGAATTGTGCCTCCTTGAAAGCTTATACAGGGAGATGATAAAACTATTGGTTGATACTTCCAAGTTCGACATGCATCCTTATCTCAAAAACGAAGCAAGTTATTGGACACATGATGTTCTGCTGAAATACGACAAGGAATCACATCCTGAATTTTTCCGCACTAAATCATCCACACCCGTATACCTACTTGATATTATTCGTGAAGTATTGCCATTACCAATTGCGCAAATAACCTATTATTATCTCAGGTCAGGCAAATTCAATTAGATTATATGTCCATATCCATATGTCACTGCTTTCGGCATTTTTTTCGCAAACTTGTTATGATCTAGACGCGTAGTAGACGTAATATTGTTCCGAAAATAACGAAGATGTATCTGCTGTTCCATTGTCGAGAATCACAATAAAAGTGCTATGAATATAGTCAGCAGTTTTATTATTTTGATTGCCAGCCAAATGTACATCGAATATTCACCTTTCTGATTCAGTAAATGTGCAGTATCGAAATTTACGTCATCTCATTGTAACTACTAGACGTCTTATCACAATAAATATTATAATATTATGATCCCATCACCACTAGCCCTATAACTGGTATTTCACTACCAAGTTGATTTTTTATTTTATGAAGGAGGAATAATATAATACGAAAACTGTTTGGAGGAAGGTAATCTCATCACATATCAATTATCAACCTCCAAGACTTCCTCAATGAATAATCAGGGCAAGTAAAGATAACAGATTTCTAACCTTAAGCTAGACAGACTGCAAAGTTGGCCAGTAAGCCATCTTTCATCTTTTTCAAAGCAAAACTTTACGCCCAAGTCGAATTTCGAAATAAATTATTACTCATTAAAAGTATTTCGCATACTATGACAATTTTATGGAGAACACTGTATTGAATATGGACAATTTCACACATAGTTTTGATCAATTATTGTCTATGAATTGTTTTTAGAATATTTTTCAGGAACGACAGTCATGCCCGCACATTCATCATGTGATTTTTAAAAGAAAAAGATGCGCTTTCAAAATACTTTTTTCAGTTCTAGGTAGAAAAGAATATCATTATTACCCAGGGACCAAGATTATATCCCGAGATGTTTATTGAATTTTTTTCACCACTAGCAATACATTTCAATTATTATAGTTCTGTGAAACTGAAATATGAACCTATTGTCGCATATGAAAGCACATCTCTTCGATTCCAATTAAAATCTAGTAGCCATGACCATAACAGCATATTATAGCTAGTCGTTATTGATAAATACCTACTAGATTCTAGTGCCATTAATGCGAATCTCGCATCAGAACATACTCAGAGGTATTTTTTTAAGATAACTCTTCTTATTTGTGAGTTTTTGTCATCTTTCAGAATTAATGTACAGATGTCTGTATATCCTATCGAACCTCGTGTTGTTGAAGTCCCACTCGAGTACGGGCAATATACGAGGTGTTCCGTTGAAAGGAAAATGCCTAATATATTTATCTTCTGATTTTTATTTTTATGAAATTATGAGGGACGAGAGGGTTCAAAATATACGTGAAGGGTCACTCTGTATACAAGAAATGAACACTAACAAATAAAAAAGTATGCCATCTAATCTATGTAAATATCTGATGGTCTTGTTAATCTCCTGTGTTTCACTTTGAAATAGCTAGTAACTTATAATAATAGTATGCACAATATTTCAGTAGCGGTCGTTTTCTCCTATCATAAAAAGCATTAGTAAAGGAGCTGCACCGGTTCCAGAATCAAAACGTCACTTTTCCCATGTTAATCTCCATAAGAAAAGTTAAGGTTCATTCTGCAATTTTTGGTTCCTTTCAAGGTCATCCAACGAGCGACGCGAGAGATCCGTTCTAGAGATAACGGCGCGCATTTCGATACATTTTTCAATCAATAATGGCTATATACAGGGTGTATGAGTTGGCTAATAGTTGGGGAAAAAATATATAGAGTGAACCCAAAAGGCGTTATACCTCCCCGACGAGTAGACTACTAGCATATAGGCTACCCGCTAGCTAATGATATATACAGAGCGTTTGAGATGGATAACAGTCAAAAAATATACAGGGCGACCTACCCACTTTTGAGAGATTAGGCAGCTGACGTGTGACAGATGACAAAGATTGATGACACGTGACTAGGTGACC